AGGGTCTGGCACCCAAGTTGCCCAAATGGAAGTTATAAAGCCATGAGCAAGGGCCTGAGTGTATGTATGAGAGATGTTAGGACATTTCAGAAAGCTGTAATTTAAGAGGTCTATTCAAAGATGCTTTTGAGCTGGGTGCCTGTGGCTCACCCTGTATTCCTAGCTACTCTGGAGGCTGAGATCTGAACCAGAAGTAGAGCTGTGGCTCAAGTGGTACAGAGCCTAGCCTTGAGCAAAAAGATCTCAGGGTGTTGTGAATTAACTAAAAGTCTCCCAACGTTGTATCTGTGTCCTCTGACCTGAGCTATCTCTGCCTTATTCTCTCTGAAATCACCTGGTTTATGGAGAAAAGGGAAGATTCAGTGAGAAGTACTCTGTGTGTAAGGCAAACTGCCCCTCAAACAGGCATTGTCTTATTGAAGAAAGCAATCCAAAGCTCAGGAGATCACCCTGTTCCTGTTCTGTTCTAGTGCTAAAGTTCAAATCTCCAGCATTCCTCCAGGACAAAGACTGAGGTAATGGTCCACCAGCCCACACACCAGTGACCTGGGACTGTTTTCACTCCGTGTATATTTCTTATTTCTCCCTGCCTCCAGTTTTCCCTATTTAACCTGAAACCATTGTCTGCACTTCTGGAAATAGCTGAAGATGTTATCTTCCCATGCCTGCCATGGAACACGTGTCCTTCTTCCGCCCTTCACCGTGGTTCCCTACTTGGCATATAGGGGCGAGTGGCCTTACCTAACTTGACACTCTTGGACTTTGAGCTTTAGCAATACAGGTTAGGCAGCTCATCAAGTCTCAGTGTTCTCATACCATAACTCCCTCTTCCCTACCTCCCTGTGTAAAAACGTAGGTTGAAAAGAAAGAGGAGTAATGGAAAGGTACTGAGACTAGCTTGGATAATTCCCATTATGAAGGGTATATCATCATTCTGAAAAGGAAAAGAATAAATCCAGAGATGAAAAAGGATTTCAGAAAATTTAGTATGTACACAACAGGGTACTACCTGGCCTCCAAAAAGGACCTTCTATCATATTCCTCAATCTGGGTGAACCTGAAAGGCACTCTGCCACGTAACATAAGCCAGGCACAGAAAGAGAAATCCTGACTGATCGCATATGTGCAGCTAAAAATGTGGATTTCATAGAAGTTGGAGAGAATAAAGGTGCATACCAGGGACTAGGTTTGGGAAATAGGATAAATCAGTATAAGGGTAGAAAGTTTTAATGAAATAGGAAGAATGCGTTCTGAAGATCCAACATGGTAACTACAATTAATAATCACCTCCATGCTTAAAAAAATCTAAGAAAGTAAGTCTTAAGAAAAAATACTAAAGAAGAAGGAGAATATGCAGGTGGAGGAAGAGGAAGAAAAGGAGGAGAAGGAGGAAGTGGTTAGGCACTAGTAGCTCACACTGTAATCCTAGTTATTCAGGAGGCTGAGATCTGAGAATTGTGGTTTAAAGCCAGCTTGGGTGGGAAAGTTTGTGGGATGCTTATCTCTAATGAACCACCAAAGAAGCTGGAAGTAGAGCTGTAGCTCACATGGTAGAGTGCCAGCCTTGAGAACAAAAGCTCAGGGACAGGGCCCAGGCCCTGAGTTCCAGCTGCAGGACTGGCCAAATTAAAAACGAAAAAAAGTAAATCTTAAACACGCTGACTATAAAATTTATAAGTATTTGAGGTGATGGATGTTAATTACCTTGATCTATGCATTCCACAGAGTATTCATGGGTCCTAATACCACCTATCACCCCATAAACCCATACAAGGTGCTCTCAATTTCAACAGCAGAACTTATGGACCTGGAGAGTTGAAACTGGGGACTTCCTGTTCCCATGGCTGCTCCTGACACTGCCCCATTCTCCTCTGAAGGTTCTGAGGAAGCATTCCCAGGCCTGATGAATTGGTAATGAGTTGTGATTAAGTACAACCGAATTCTAAGTCCTGTGTGCCTGAGAAATGTCTCCCACAGCATCAAAACTGCCAACAATAGTGACCCAAGGCTACTTCCATTACGAATTTGGACTTTGCTTTAAAAAAAAAAATAGTTTCTATGATGGTTTGCTAGATAATGACCCACACATGAAGTGTTCTCCATGATTAACAATGGCATCTGTCCTCTGTCCAGTGCCAGGAAGGGAAATGCAGGCTGACCACGGCCAGTCCAAAACAGAGTCCACTTCTAAAAACAGAATGCACTACAGCTCACTCTGCAGGCTCTTCCATTGATGATGAGTGTGTTGATGTCTTCTTTAAAAAAGCAATCCACTAAATGCTTGTAGATCCTGGACTGCAGATTACTCGCTGACCTAAATATTACTGGCACTGCTTGGAGCCCTGCAGGGCCTAGGACTTGGACACACGATGAAGGTCTTCAGTGAAGATGAATTTTGAAAAAGCCGAGATAAGCAGACTAATTTCCTACCAAAGCATTTTCTTCTGATCTTGGAAATGTTAAAAGGGCCACCTGAGTGGATTATTTTGAGCAAAGAAAACTCAATGGCCAGTGTAAACAACTAACCCACCCCAGTCCCTCCGACACACCACGTGAAGCTTTCCAGGCTCTAGCTAGCAAGCAGGGCTGCAGGAGACTGTACTTTCTGTGTACGGTGTACTGCTTTCTCACATATGTGGTCAAGGGACTGTGAAGATGGAAAAGGAGAATACACAAACACCATGTAGCCATGTGCCTGGCTGCAATGACCATCACTATTACGTTGGGCCCATTTTTCAATCCAGTCAGAGAGTGAAGGAACAGAAAATAACTGTTTTTCTTCATTCATGGTTTCACTCTGGTTTTGGTTTGGTTTATTTTCCGCCAGTACTTGGGCTTGAACTCAAAGCCTCACACTCTCTCTCAACTGATGCTCTACTGCTTAAGCCACACCTCTACCTCCTCCTTTTTTATATTATAATGTTTTTGTTGATGATATCCAGTGTAACATTTGAACATAAGTATATATTGGGGAATAGCTAAGTGAGGTCATTTAACAAGCATTACTGCATATATGTGCCATTTTTCTATGGTGAGACCACCTAAAAATCTACTTTCTTCACATACCTGAATAACAGACATTGTTCACTGTTTTACTGGCTAAGGAGTTAAGAGTTTCTTGGGTTAATAAACCTGGTGGCTCTGAACCACAATTCTCAGATCTCAGTCTCCTAGGATTACAGGAATGAGCCACCAACGCCTGGCTCACTGTTTCATTTTGAACCAGAATATTTCTTTTATTCTTTTCTTTTCTTCTTTTTTTTTTTTGTCAGTTGTAGGGCTTGAGCTCTGGGCCTGGACACTGGCCCTGAGCTCTTCAGCTAAAGGCTAGTGCTCTACCACTTGAGCCACAGCACCACTTCCAGTGTTCTGGTGATTAAATGGAGATAAGAATCTCACAGACATTCCTGCCCGGGCTGGCTTTGAACCATAATCCTCAGATCTCAGCCTCCAGAGTAGCTAGGATTACAGGTGTGGTGCCTGGCTGAATATTTTTTAAAAAAAAAATCATTGTTGTGTTAGAGGTGATATACAGTGGAATTACCTTTTTACATCGCATCAGGTGTACACACATTCCCTTCTTTTTGCATCCTGTCATCTGTTCCCTCCTCCCCTCCCATTCTCTCCCGCCCATCTCTGTCCACCGCTTGTGAGGTTCATTGCATCAATGTCTAATGCAGCCAGGGGACTCCACTGCTGTACTTTTTCACCCATTTTCCACTGATTCTGTGCCCGCCCGCCATCTTCCCTCAGATGTCTATATATGTGGCAAAAAATACAGAGCCATCTGAAAATAAAAAGACAAAGTAAGAAAAGGTTCTTTGTTTCCTTATCTTTCATTTCGGTCTGGGTATTACAACTTGGAGATTTTCTCCAAGACTATCCTCTTTGTGGACCAGAATATTTCTAAGTATCTCAAAAGCATTGCCATGAAACAGTTTACTTGACAGTTCATGTTTTTTTTTTTTGTCGGTCGTGGGGCTTGAACTCTGGGCCTGGGCGCTGTCCCTCAGCTCTTCAGCTCAAGGCGAGCGCTCTACCACTTGAGCTACAGCACCACTTCCGGTTTTCTGGTGGTTTATTGGAGATAGGAGTCTCACAGTCTTTCCTGCCTGGGCTGGCTTTGAACCGTGATCCTCAGATCTCAGCCTCCTGAGTAGCTAGGATTACAGGGGTGAGCCAACAGTGCCCGGCACAGTTCATGTTTCTTTGAATCAAATATTTACAACATTTTGTTAGCAACAAAGCAAGTGAAGGTAATGTCTAAAATATTTATTATTCCTAAGAGAGTCAGTGTGTTTACACTGAACATGAAGTATCATTTTTGAAAGAAGAAAACAGGAGCCCAAGAGTAAGGGAATGCACACAGTATACATGAAGGAGATGTACCAGATCCCTGCACTAATGTCACGTTTGATGACCCGGAAATGACTCTAAGCTCTCCTGAGAGCACACACTCATACAACAGGAAAGAGGTGACTATGTGAAATACTGACCACTGTTTCTGCATACGTCACCGCAGTGCAGGTATTATTAGCACTACGGAGAAACTGAGTCAATAAGGAACACTGGGAGTTAGACCTAGATAGCAGCAAAGTGCCAGCCCTTCCCAACACTGGAAAGCAGTGTCTTCAACATGCTTGCTACTGAAAAAAAAACACATCACACAGCACTGGTAGCTCACGCCTCACGCCTGTAACCCTAGCTACTCAAGAGGCTGAGATCTGAGGATCACAGTACAAAGCCAAGCTGGGCAGAAAAGACCATGTGATTCTTATCTCCAAGTAAGCACCAGAAAACCGGAAGTGGTGCTGTGGCTCAACGTGGTAGAGTGCTCGCCTTGAATGGAAAAGCTCAGGGACAGTGCCTAGGCCCTATAACTGACAAAAATAAAATAAAATAACAAATAAAAAAAATCACCTTTTCTAGTTTCCCTGCTATTAAGTAGTTATGTCACTGTGAAACTTCTAGAGAAAGAAAAGTGTCCCAAGAGCACATACCTGTGGTAGAGTCAATGGTGAAAAGGTCTGATAGGTCCCCCGGCATAAGTTCATAAGCCACTGTTCCGTACACTCCAGAGTCCCTGTCCCTGGCGAGGACGGAGATGACCTCGGTGCCCGGCTGTGTCTCCCCGCTGATGCTCGTCACATAGGTGGTCGGGGTAAACACAGGCCGGTTATCATTCACGTCCTCCAGCTCCACGCGGACGAAAGCTTGGGCACTCAGCCCACCCTGGGGAGGAATGAATGGTGATTACAAACAGGTCTCTGCTGCACCTTGGAAGACGAAAGCATCAACAATGATCCAACAACTGACTTTTGAAACAACAAAAACATGTACATGTATAAACACTGGGATACAGAATAATCAACAGTGATCTTAAAATAGGCTTTAGAAGCAATAAAACACACACACACACACATGCACGCACGCACGCACACATGCACGCATGTCATCATTTTGCTTCTAACCCTGCAGCATTAGTTCCCAGGTAATAGCATTCTATCTATACCTCAGGGCTGATCCTGAAAGGTGAAAGAAAGCTGGGCATGGTAGCATATACCTATGATCACAGAACACAGGAAGCTGAGGCAGATGAGAGTGAGACACATAGCAAGTCAAGTTGTGTCTCAGAAAAACAAAACAAAACAAAACCCCCACTATATTTCCTCAGGCTCTCAGAAAAACAGTCCTGGTATATAAGAACCAGCCATCATTGGTGGAAGGGGCCACAGGACATTGGTGACTTACCAACAGAAATGTCTTGAGTGGCAGCAACAGTGCTAAAGTAGACAAAGGTGAGCCACATCCAATCAGAACGCACCTGAACTTCCTCAAAAACTCTGAACATACCTGACATCAGTTAAGATACGGTCCAGCTGTCCGGGGCTGGTGTAAGACATTCAGCTACCTGTCATAACAATTCTATCTTCACAAGGTTTAGGATGAAGTGACATCCAAGATGGTGGCAGTGTCAAGTCATATCCCTACAGCCGTTCCTTCTGGACTCTGGAATCCTCTTTCGAAGGAGCACGCTGAGAAGCCAGTATTCCTCAGGACAGCATGAGTAGAGCAGACCTAAACCCATTTATTTCATTCTCATATAGCATCCACTGTCCAAGGCTGTGTTACCTTAGAAACTATCCTGATAATGTAGCTCATGAGCAGCCTTGGGGCAAAACTGCTTAACTGAGCTGCTTCCAGCTTTCTGGCCCTTAGAACCCATGTGAGATAACAAACATTTGCTATTTTATTTTATTATTTTTTGGGGGGGTCCGGTGGTGGGGCCTGAACTCTGGGTCTCGGCACTGTCCCTCAGCTCTTCAGCTCAAGGCTAGCGCTCTACCACTTGAGCCACAGCGTCACTCCTGCTTTTTTCTTTTTTTCTTACATGGTGCTGAGGAATTGAACCCAGGGCCTCATGCATGCAAGGCAAGTCTCTACCACTGAGCCACCTTCCCAGCCCCACATTTGCATTTTATGCTGCTAAATTTAAGGATAATTTGTTACACAGCAACAAGTAGCTCATACATCCTATAAATCCATCCAGGCATGGCTATTTCTTCATTGTGTTGTTCTCGTTCCATCAACGAGTCAGGCACTACTTTGATGTAGTCTTAATCATTTCCATTTTCAAAATTATGGTAAGAATTCCTAAGCCAACTACTTACACTTGAATCTCCTCAATTTATTCTGTGAAGGGTGGGCTGTGCTTTCAGAAAGCGCTGAACTTAACAGCATATCAGAGACAGAAGGTTACTTAAGACAGTTGGCAGATAAGGAAAATTCTGGGCTGTTATTTTCTACTATTTCTCTTTGTTCTTGCCTTTGGGACCTCGTGGATAGTGGAATATTACTATCAGCCCTTCATACCTTAGCTCTGATGAGCTTGGTAGTGGACTTTCATCTCTGGTGAGCTAAGAGGTCTAACTTACAGCAACAAAGGTGAAGAGAAACAACTTAGGGCCAGCCCTATTAAAGAAACACAGCATGTTAGGTCTCTCCAAAGCCACACAAAGCAACCTTTCAAGACTCCTCCCAGATTCACTGAGAAGCTGAATAAGATGAAAATAAATACATCACTAATGCCAGACTATAGCATAGTTCTGGCCATGCTGATGAGGCGCTGTTGCTGGAGAGGTTAAGGGAGGGAAACGTGCATTAAAAGAATTCAAAAGGTGAGAAACTCTGTTTCTGTTTTTTGTTCAGATGATTTGCTTTGAAAGAAATAAAAGGGACAAAACGGATTTTCAAAAAAGTATGTGAAATCAAAAGGAGTCTGATTTTTAAAACAGAGGCTACTGTTATGCTGTATAGGCCTGTGAGAGTCATACAGGAGAATGTGAGAAATTAATGATGTAAGAAAAACAATCAAATCATTCCAGACCTGAGATCCTTGAGCAGCTCAAGTGTATGGGCGCCTGAACCCCTGAACTGTGGAGGAATTTGCTTCTGATGCAAACACAGCTGTGGGAAATACAGTAATGGGTATGGTCATGGAAAAGCAGGCCAGCTGGTGAGCAGGAAGTTGCAGGGTCTTGGTGGCAGGCAGGAAAGAAGGTCCTCTCTTAAGCAGATGTGTTCTTTTTCTTCAGGCACCATCAGCTGCTCAGCTGGGAGTATAGAAGAGGCCAAGCCTCTGGGAATCAGACAGAGCCCAGGTTTAGACAGACAGTTTGCCATCGAATGACTTGAATGGTGAGTAATGGGTCAGGGATGGTCACACAGGGGGAGAATTACCGACTAGAGCGAAAGTGCAACCTGAAGATAAACATGCTTTTCAGGAGACAACGGGCTTGAAAGCAAGATTTTAGAACTTGTATGATTACTGCTGATGAGCCTTATACATGAGAAAGTCACGGTGGTTATAGATACTGAGCTCTCCATAATGATAGGACACAGGGATTGCTACAGTGTGGCCAGCCCAGGCAGAAAGGTCCGGGTGAAACTCTTAACTCCAATTAACCACCAGAAAACAGAAGTGGTGCTGTGGCTCAAAGTGGTAGAGTGCTAGCCTTGAGCAAAAGAGCTCAGAGACAGTGAGCGCCCAGGCCATGAGTTCAAGCCCCATGACTGACCGCCCCACCCCCCAAAAAAGTAAGTAATGAAGTAAAGTGGTGTTTAAGACACCTCAGAATAAATCCCTATAATATATGCGAGACTATAGTCCAGACAATTTAACTAGAAAACAAGAGGCCAATGGGTGGTGAATGAAAAGAAAGGGAAACGTTAAGCACTGAAACACTTTTTGGAAAATAGGAAAACAAGTGATTTCAGTTCAAATGAACTTGCCCTTCTCCACTGCAAGTTTGCTCTTGGGGTTCATCTGTATGGTATATGCACTATTAGCATGACTTCTATGAAGCTTTTATCATGAATATACACAGTGGTGACAAGTCTGACCAAATCCTTCTCTTAACTTCCAGGGGAGAGATGGATTGAAATCATTTTAGCTTAGACACGTATTTCAGCTACAGAATTCAGGATATAACAAAACAAATGAGGGGTAATAAAAAATATACCCCCAAAATAACAACTCCCTCTTAGAAAATGATGGGAAAAGGAAATTTTAAAAATTAGGTACAAGGAGGGGATAAATTAAACCATAGAGCTTTATTGTGGAAAAAACAACAATGTAATCCTATTATTTGGCTCCACTATGTAAGTGAATAGCATTTCATCTCGGTTGTGATAAATAGCAGCAGCTGTAATAGCAAAAGTGAAATATTGAGAAGTAATTTCAATAGAGTGGGAAAAGTGATTGAGTTTTAAAAGCAATATATTGACTACCACCACAAGGAGAAATAGAGCAGTGGCAAAGAAGCCCAGAATACTGAAAGTGTTTTAGAAGGAAAATGCTTCTACTGACAGATAAAAATCCCTTACAAATCAATGATAAATGGGTTCACAGAAAAGTTCTTACAAAGGACCTACAGGACATTTATTAGAAAGAGAAAGGATCCGAGAAGATGCCATAGATTGTCAAGAGATTATTAAAAAGTTCAAGGACTTCCATCGAGGTTCCGTTTATTCTTTAAAATATGTTCATTAAGGCCTGAATTCCAACAGCCAAGCATTAAATTGTCTGACTTCATGTACTCTTTGGATGCAGTTGAGATTGGTTTTAGAGGCAGACCGCTGCACCATTATCAATTGTTTCTCTTTTGATGCTGTCTCTCTGATGGATGTACACTGTAGGACATATCTCACACAGAATAATTGGGGCAGATTCAGAGGTCACCCTGTTGAAACTCACATTTATCACAAAAGAATTTCAAGAAGATTATGCAGGAATACTGCATGCTGGGTAACTTGCTCTATATATGCATATGTATGTATACTTATATGTATATATATATCGTATATGTATGTAGACAAATACACAATTGCACATATGCACATATCCAAGCAGGGTGAAGGAAGCTTTTAGAGCCTTTGTTGGAGAGAAGGGGAAGATTCTTCTAGAACTCGTTTTAAGAATACATCTCTCCCTTACACCAGGCACTGATACAAGGAGGGTCCTGTTCTTTTCCTGGGCTCCTCTATGATCATCTCCCCGGGTCAAAAGGCAGCCAAGTTGGAGACGGTAACTGAGCACCTGAGGACAAGGAGGCCTTGAAGCACTGTTAGCTCACAGGAGATGCTAAGAAGACTTTCACCGAAGCTAAATGCGGCCTAGGTTCATCCTGGGAAGAATGAGGAATCAGTCCTTCTAGGAGGTGAACTGCTTGCTTGTGCAACAAGCTGCTCACTTGCAATATCAGAAATGACACCGGGTCTAAGGTGGAAATGTAAATGGAAGAACAAAATCAGGGACTCGCCATTCTGCAGCCCCTAAGGAACAATGAGAACTCCTAACACTTCCTAAACGAACCTGGAACTAATCAGGTCTGCTCTCTAAATGCCAGCTTGTAGAAAACAGTGGAGAGAAAAGAACAAATTAAACAAATCCCCCAAAATACACACTCAGCATGTGGAAAACTTACATGACAAATGACCCGATTTCTGTACAAAAATAACATCACAGGAGAAAAGGTAAGGGGAGGAATAATAGTTACGGGTTGACAGGTAAGGGCTAGATCAATCATTACTTTATGAACTTAATTGAATGTCGATTCAAAAACCCAACTATTAAAAGATGTGCTTAGTTAAGCTCCAAATTTTTAACATAGAGTAGATATTAGAGGTTATCAAAGAAATGGCTATCTGTATATGGTAAGTATAATTTAATAATGGATGAATGAAACAGGGCCTGGTATTTGCTCCAGCAAAGGAAACAGTAGCTGATACAGGATGCATGCTTAACTGGTTGCTGAGTATCGTTGGGTAGGTGTTCTGATGGGCGCGTGTGACACTTCATCCCCAAAGACTTACCCCATCCTTTGCTTTCACCAGCAGATCAAAGGTGTCTGGATCTTGTTCCCTGTCGATGTCTTGAGACACACAGATTCGCCCATCATGTGGGTCAATCTGGAATGCTGGAGGGGCCTCGGCACTTTGGAAGCCATTATAAAGAGAATACTCAACTAAGCCATACAGCCCTGCATCTGCATCCGACGCTTTTACCTAGGAGAAAGGAAATGGATTCATAAATGATCAGGAAGTAAACTAGAAATGTTTCTTTTACTTTTCAGTTGGTCATGAATTACCACAGTGATCTGTCCAACCAAGTCACACACAGCTACTCACAAAGTACAGGCTTTGGTTCTTTCCCTCCCCCTCCTCCCCTCCCCCCACCCCTCTCTCTAACACATATTCTACAAAGGAACAAGTCACATCCCAGGAAATAAGACAGAATGAACAGTGCAAGATTTTCATCTCTAAGAACAGATTCAAAACATGTTTATTTCTAGAATTTTTCATTAATATTTTTCAGACCAGAGTAGGCCGCAGGTTAATGAAACCAAAGAAATAATAAAGAAAAAATAAAGCACAGTGAAAAATATAATAGGCTAGAGAGAAGTCTAAAACTTCCATGTCATAGGCTCAGTATAATTCTTTTGATTTACAGCCCACTTAATAGTAACAGCAAACGTGTATATATATATATATATATATATATATATAAAACACTTCAGGTAAGAGATAGGAGCACTCCAAGGAAAGAGCAAGAGACAAAGAGAAATGGAGAGAGGTAGGAAGAGGGAAGAAAGGGGGAGAAAGGGAAGGAAGAAGGAGAGAAGAAAGAAGGGAGGGAGGAGGAAAAAGGAACTAAGCTTGCTATTCAATTATCCCCTTTCTCCTCCACCCTTAAAAAAGACAGCCCAAATGAATGGGACAAGTCAGGAGGACTTGTCCTTTGAAGTATTACAAACTAAACAATTCAAACAGTGTGATCTAAAAAAAGAATTTGGCAGGCAGAACAAGAGAACACAAAAGAGGGACCTGCAACAGATTGTGGTAAATATAAATGTTTTGTATATGACAAAGGAAACCACTGGAGACTTGGGGTTTATCCACAGAAGTTGCTAGAAAAAAACCTGGCAAAATGCATGGAGGAAAAATCAAGTTTGATATTATCCTCACATTAAAATAAATTCTACACAGACACGTCAAATGTAAATAATGAAATCATTTAAAGCACAAATATATATTTAGCTGCTCCTTACACTGGAAAGATATTTGAAGGCGAACAGGCATTTTAAAGTAAAAGAATTGACAAAATCAATCACACAGTGACTATAAAACTGTGTAATAATGCCATATATTATGTATCTATGTTTTTATATAAGACATATATTTATGTATGTATGATTACATATAAATATAAAAATATATGTATCTTTAGAAATTAAAATGATACTGTTTTCCCAATCAAAGATATCCCCGAGCCACGCGCCGGTGGCTCACGCCTGCTACTCAGGAGGCTGAGATATCTAAGGATCATGGTTCAAAGCCAGCCCGGGCAGGAAAGTCCGTGAAACTCTAATCTCCAACAAACTACTAGAAAACTGGAACTGGCGCTGTGGCTCAAGTGGTAGAGCACTCACCTTGAGCTGAAGAGCACAAGGACAGTGTCCAGGCCCAGAGTTCAAGCCCCAGGACTGATAAAAAAAATGCCTGAGGACACATAAACAGACAATTCACAGAATGATAAATACATAACATTTTAGATATTCAACTTCAATAGTAATCAAATTAATGAAAGAGAAAATGGCATGTTTTGGCCTGGCAATTGGCAACCATTAAAATAAATAGCAAGTGTTTGGAAAGGTGTAGCAAGATGCATTCCTTTTTTATAGTCCATGTAGAACTAATTTTTTTTATCATATACATATGTTAAACAATCACCCATATCTAAAAATATTCATCTCCTTTGACTCTGCATTTCTACAAGTATATGTAAGAAGAAAGATATCTGTGTAAAAGACATATAATACAGCACAGCATTGATTGTTCGATGTCAAACACCACTGGTATTAAACAAACTATAATTCATCCATGAGACATAATTCAAGGTAGCCACAAAAACTGTATAATTAAAGACACAACACAATAAAATGTCAAGAGGGCCAGGAGCAGGGCTGGGAAGGTTGCTCAGTGGTAGAGTGCTTGCCTTGCATGCATGAGGTCCTGGGTTCAATTCCTCAGCACCACATACACAGAAAAAGCCAGAAGTGGAGCTGTGGCTCAAGTGGTAGAGTGCTAGCCCTGAGCTGAAGAGCTGAGGGACAGCGCCCAGGCCCAGAGTTCAAGCCCCACGACCAACAAAAAAAGGGGGGGGCAGGAACAGTTGCCATGTATATAATTCCAGGTACTTGGGATGTAACTTTGAGACTAGGCTGAGCAAAGAGCTATCCTTACAGATAAGCTGGGTGTGGTAGCACAAACACAAAACCCACTGCGCTGGAGGCCATAGGTAGGAAGAGCCTCACCTGAGGCTGGCCCTGGGGAAAAGTTCAGGTCCTGATTGACAGATAAACTAGAGGCAAAAAGGGCCAGGAACATGGCTTAAGTGGTAGGAACACTTGCTTAGCAGCTGTGAGGCCCTGGATTCAATCCTCAATGATAAAACAAACAAAAACAGCCAAGTAAAAATTAAATATAAAATTTTCCACTTATGCCAGAAAATGCACTGGATACAATAAAAGACTGAAGAAAGGCTAAATGTTAATTGATCTAATGTGGAAAATAACCATTTTTAATGTCTTTATTCCAGTAATCTTTCCATATATATATATACATATATATATGTATATATATATATATAATGAGATCATATAGATACCATCTACAGAAATAGTATTGCAAAAGAAGCTAGGGCATTAAAACCTCTGAATCCAAAAGTAAATTGGCCATTAACAGGCATCCGCCATCCATTCATTCAACTACTGGAGTGTCTTCCTGACACACCAACTCTTGCAAGCTCACTGTAATGAGTGAGTTTGGGAGCCACAGGTGCACCAGCATTCCTCATTTCTTTTTGTTTCTCTGAAGTGCGGGATATGGAATCCAGGACTTCACAAGAGTGTGGTACGTGCTCTGCCACTGAACTAGAGCCGGCAGCTACAGCACTGTTCTTTGTAAGCCAGGAGTGGACACAACATTTACAGTCAGGACCAGTGGGACCACTTTAGCTTTCATAGGCCACACAATCTCTGCTCAACTCTACCTTTTGAGTATGAAAGAGTAATGACAACTGTAAATGAATAGCTATGTTACAATAAATATTTGATTTATTAGGACCAAAGATCTGAATTTCAGCATAACTTTAACTTCTTAGGAAAAATTTCTTCTTTTTTCCACCATAAAAATAAATGCAAAGACAAAATAACACAAAAATAGGAAGCTGGTTGATCTGACCCAAGCACCAGAGTTTGCCAAGATCTGATCTAAAGCAGAGGAATAAGTCTTTAGAAAATCAGAGTCAAGCCAGATTCATGCCTATAATTCCCAGCAATTTAGGATGTAGAGAACCAGAGGACTGAGATTTGAGGCCAACGTGGGCATAAAGTTAGCCAGACCCTATCTCAACCAATAAGCCAGTCATGGTGATCACACATCTGTCACCCAGTTTAAGCAGGACACAGCAGATAGGAGGGTAACCATTTGAGGCCAGCCTTCAGCACATATGCAAAACTCTGACTATAAAATAAGGAAAGCAAAAAGGGTTGAGGGTGTGGCTCAAGTAACAGAGCTCCGTCTTAGCAACTATGAGGCCCTGAATTCAAACCCTAGTATGGGGGAGCAGGGAAGGGGGGGAAGAGGAGACATGCATCCAAAACTGAATTTGGATTGAAAATAATCTAAATTTATCACAGATATTCACAATGTCTGATACCATAAATCCTTTAATGACAGCTATATTCAAAAAGAGGATTTGAGCTACATATTCCTCCAAAGTTTTTTATTTCTCTGAAGCTCTAGTAAAAAAACTCACTGGCCAGCATGAAACATTTGTAGGAGACCTGGCAGCAGGAGGAGACTTATAAAAGCTGACGGTCCATTTTATTCATTCTTCTTACCTAAGATTTCACCATGGGATTTACATGAGGTACACAAGGGAGCTTTCAAATTTCAGAGTGAAAAATCTCCTTTCTCTCTCTGCCTTCTCTGTTTCAGTGAATTTCTCCAGCCTCGTAATTTAAACCTACGGCAGCCCTGACTCCACAGGTACAGCACCAGCCTCTCCCAGGACTTCAGAGTTCCATCTGGAAGGATCTCCTTCACGCAAGTATCCACTTGGCAGGTTCCATGAGCCATGGTCAAAACATCTTGTGAGTCTTCCCACTTCCTGCACAAAACCAGTTACCCAGCCAGTTGCCAGTGGCTCAAGCCTAAAATCCTGGCCACTCAGGAGGCTGAGATCTGAAGATTAACATTTGAAACCAGCCTAAGCAGGAACTCCAATTAACTACAAAAAGCAGGAAGTGGGGCTATGGCTCAAAAGTACTAGCTTTGAGCCAAAAAGCTCAGGGACAGAGTCCAGTCCCTAAGTTCAAGCCCCAGGACACACACACACACACACACACACACACACACACACACACACACACACACACACACACACACACACACACACACACACACACACACACACACACACACACACACACACACACAACCTTAGTGTTCCTTCACTCCTCCTGAATTCAATGGCTCCTCCACCTACCCTGAGGCTTCAGTAGAAAGACAGTGACTCTTCGGTTCTTTCTCCTAACTCAGCAAACCAGACTTTCTGAACATCTGTAAACAAGCTAGCTCTCCCAGCTACAAAGTCAGAGATGACTACCGACAAACACATTTAAAATAATAAACTCTGATCTATACATTTTATAGTATTTTTCAGATTAGGCAAGATGGCAAAGATTGGTTAAGTCTAGTATTGATTATAAAAGCTTTTTTTTTCAATAAAGCCTAGAAACAACAAAATCAAGTCCATCAAAATAAAAAGTAATCTAATTGCACAGCCATACAGTGAAATATTACACATTTGTTAGAAAGACTAAAGTAAGTTGCGTGTGATGGTTTGATCGTGTAATCTCAGCGCTTGGGAGACAAAAATCAGGAGGCTTGAGAGTTCAAGAACTATCTGGACTACAGAATGAGACTGCATCTTTAAAAAGAAAAGAATAAAAAGAACAAAGCAGATCTTTACAGACGTACATAGAAAAAGGTGTTCTATTGCTACTGACTTGGAGTGTCACAGAGCTAAGCAAGAGCTTGTATAGGGATCTTACAGTAACCATGACTCTTTTGCACATTGAAGCAGGCAGGCAGGCCAGAGAGGGACCACCCCTGTGGAGAAATGCCTGAATGTTCCCTGGCTCTTCCATGCCATCCCTGTTGCTTAATTGCCTTCTTCTTTAAAATCAGGATCAGAATCATCTCTCCTAGGCTCTAGAACCCCAAACAGGTAAAGATCTGAGGATAGCCAATGCAGGGTTTTCTTTTAAAGAAAGGTCCTTACCTGTTACTCAAATCCTGTTTAACCCACACCTGTCATGTGTACTAGGATTTAACTTCTGTTCTCAGAAGCTCTCAGAAATAAAGTCAAAAGAATCACAAATTAGGTCAAAAGTTTGAAATCAGGTTAGCCTTGATCTAGCATACCCATTCCATAGGCAAGAACAGAGCTCATTGGTGAGCTTTTTTTCCTTTCCAACTGTTCTTTTTGTTCTGTTTGGTTTCAATCTTTTTAAAATTATCTTTAAGCGGTTGTTCAAAGGAGTTGTCATTCAACAAAGCAGTTTATGACTACAATGCATCTTGACGAGTCCAATTAAGGTTATGGGCTCAACTTAAATAAACCATTCCATCACTGAAATATAACAGTTTACTCATACTTTTCTTGCTCCTTACCAAATATGACTTGCTACTTTTGCAAAACAGCAGCAACTCTTGACCCGCACGGCATTGTCCTACGCTCTTTTTCAGGCAGCTTGTCCACCCTCATGGTAACTCTGTGCTTTTTAAGACACCTAACGGTGTGAATTTCACCCCATCCATGGTTAACGCGTTACAGGAGAGGCAACAGTATTTTCCCCAAGTGACTTTATTTTGAAACTACCATTTTCTCAAAATGAAGAGATGCAGGAGCCTTGCATGTCATCTCAGAACGGCTGCTCACCTCTGGCCTGCGTAGAGCAAAACCACACAGAAGGCAACGGCTAGTGAGAGGAAAGGGTGGCAATGTATCAGGTGTTGAGGAAGGGAAACACAGGTAAGGATGGGATGTAAATTTTCTCTATGGCTTCTGCATTCAGGCACTCCCTGATAGGCACGTGAACCCTCCGTGAGCCAGTGTGGAATTGTGTCAGAGAAGGACAATGGGAAGCTCCCAATGCTGCTGTGAAGATTCATGGAAAGTGCCCAGTGCACTGACTCAAACTCAGTGATTGCTCTCAGTTCTCCGTGCCTTCCCATCCTGCCTCTGTCTGTCCAGCTCCAGTCCTCCATTGTCCACGCTGCAGTGGCACCAAGTCCAATGCACCATTGTGGGGTCAGCAGCGAGGCATGTCTCCAATGATGTCTCTAGAGTCACTTCCAAGGATGATCTTTGGAAAATCAATGCTGTTGGCTCCTGTTTTAGGAAGATATTCCCACATCCTCTGTCATTCACTTCCAGTGATGTTTCAAGGACAGGCCCTGCCTCTAAACAGCCTGCCTGCCCATTACTAAGCCATATGAGTGTAAACGTGATAGAGAGCAGGTCCCTGCTCCTACTTGAAATAAAGGCCTGAGTCTAAAGGTACACATACCCTCAAGACACTGGTGGCTCACGCCTGTAATCCTAGCTACTCATGCAAGACTCTTATCTTCAATTAACTCACAAAAAGATAGACGTGGGGAAGGGGTGCTGTGGCTCAAGTGGTAAAGCACTCAGCTTGAGCTGAAGAGCTGAGGGACAGTGCTCAAGCCCAGAGTTCAAGCCCCATGACTGACTAAAATATAGACACGGAGGTGTGGCTAAGCAGTAGACCACCAGCCCTCAGCCAAAAAGCAAGAGGACAAACCCTTGAGTCCCAGTACCAGTACATATACACAAAAAAGGTGCAAATTTTTCTAAATTTGTACTAAATTTTTCTACTATCTAGAGACTGTTCATCACAGGTTTGTATAATCAGAACACAGAACTGAAGAAACTTAATAAGAAGAGTTTCTCCTTTGACAGTCTCAAGGTTTTAAGCAGGACTCATTCCTCCTTCTCAGTGGGAGAAGATGAACAGAAACAGATGAACCCTCAGCACAAACCCTCAGAGTTCAGAGATTTTTATCCATGTCTCCAAAACATCATAACTATTTCATGTTATTTGTCTTTTGGGAGAACTGGAAAGAGAAACGGAGCTATAAATGCTAGATTGTCATGCCTGAGAACAAGTTTGATTTTCCATCCTGGATTGATTTGAAAATATGGTCCTCTTCCCAGAACTATTAAGAATCATTCACCTTTTCCCTACCCACCCCTCCGCTTTGGCTTTTAATCATTCCTCTAATCAGATGGCATG